CCCCAAAACCCCAAAACCCCAAAACCCCAAAACCCCAAATATTTGATCAAAATTTGAAATATCCTACACCATCTTATCGCTTGATGTTGATGATAATGCAAGTCATGTTGTCTCATCCTAAACTTTGGTCTTTATTACAGTCTTCTGAGCAGACTTCGTTAAGGAGTTCTTTCACAATGTCTTCTATATCCGTATTTGTTGATAACTTTTCATCAATGAAGTCTACAACTTGTTGAGAGTCTTTCACCTCCCAGATACCATCACAAGCAAGGACGATGAAGTCATCGTCTTCATCAATATCTCTGATGGTGACATCTGGAACTCAGGTTATTGGTTGCTCCTCAACTGGAAGATTCTTTTGTTTATGGTGAAGATCACCAATTGACCTTGACAGGTTCAGGTTGCCATCAACTCTTCCATCAACGACGACGCTTCCAGCATTAGTGATCCTTTGGTATTCTATTGGGTCTTCAGGCTTATGATCTTGCGAAAGTTCTACTGCTCTTCCTCTCTGAGAAATTACTCATCTTGAATCACCTGCATTGGCACAATAGTATTTTCCTTCATGAATGAAGAGAACATTGGCTGTGCATCCAATGCTGTCAAAGATATTTATTCCTTCAGTTTTTCCTCTATCAATCTCATCACTGAGGCCGAGTAGCTCTAGGAAAGGATTCTTTCCTTCGGGATTGTTGTTCCTAATCTCCATTAGTTCCTTCTTGACCTGTTTGGTGGAAAGCTTCTTATCTATCCCAATAAAGGAATTTATGAGAGCTTGCTCAACAGAGTCCGGATCTAATAGATCTTCATCAACAGTAGACCCTTTAAATGGATTAGCCTTGCTTGGAAAAGAATCTTTGAAGGTTTGAATAAGTTCTCTAGCTGCGTACATAGCTACTTCTTTGCCTCCATGTCCATCAAAGACGCCAAAGAGGTGCATCCCTGGTTCGAAATCAAGCTCGAGGAGATGTGCGTCTTCCATGTTGGTTCTCCACCCTTGCATGGATCAGGCTACTGCGTCATATTCATCATTTTCGTTCTCATCTATCTCCTTTTCCATGTTAGGCTCGTTAAGGTAGGTGAGCTGGGTTCCCATATTATTTATTATTAAGGTTAAATGGGGTTTTGGGGTTTTGGGGTTTTGGGGTTTTGGGG